CAAAAGCTGACGATCATAGGCTCGTTTGCTTCCTTTCCATAACAGTCATAGGTACAGAACCCAAAGGAAACAAGAGCTTAGGTAGAGTGGTCAGTCATAGTGGTAAATGATTTGGACAAAAAATACTAATCCCCGTACCAGGAAGACTAATGCGAGAGCACAGATGAACTATTGTGGTGGATTAAAGGTAGATACTACTGCGCCGGGTATAAGTAGCGTGGTGGTGCAAGATGACACACCAAAAGCGAGCCCTGCCGACTTCCCCAAAGTTGAAGATGACATCAGGATTACAGTTCCATGCGCACGAGGAGTGAACACAGAGGCAAGCACCAGTTGGGGAACACTCCATGGAGATCACGCAGATGAGCGGACGCCTCCGAGGTATGAACGAACACACCTAGTGTAAGCCACTTTAGCAATGAACAAGTTACCGCCTGCCCATTGGGTTCTAAAATTTGGTGTCGTGACCTCGCAAGTCATGAAGCTTCCCTGGCCGGAACCATTTGAAGACGGGGATGTGAAGGCGTTTTGGAGGATTTCGAGGAGGTGGCAGAGGCGGTAGGACTGAAGACGGACCGGGCGAAGATGGCGACCCTGCAGAGTCTCTTCAAGGGCAGGGCGAAGGCGGTTCTGGAGGCGGCGCGAAGAGGTCCGGTCAAGTTGGAGTGGACCACCGCGAAGGAGGCGTTGCTCTCTGGCCTGGACACGCCAGCGGACCTCCAGGAGGCGATGCGACGGTTCAAAGCGTCGCGGCTTGGTGCTGGGACGGATCCCCTCGTGTTTGTGGTACACCTCAGGAGCTTGTTGGACCGCGCCTTGTCGGGGTTGGATGGGCCGTCAAAGACGCAGTTGCTGGTGGATCAGTTTTTGACCGGCCTCCCACAGCCAACCGCGGAGCGCGTTCGGATTGCGAATGCTAATCGGAAGATGCAATTGGAGGAGTTGGCGCAAGTTACTCGAGACCAGGGAGACGCACCACAAGCTGCGCTGAAGGAAGAGCCTCATGAGAATGTGGAACGGATGGACAAATTGGAACGGATGATGGAACAGCTTACGGAAGACATCAATGGGTTTCGCGTTCAGCGTTATCGGGTGCGCACAAAGGGATGTTGCTTCATCTGCGGGAAACCGGGGCACTGGAAGAAACAATGTCCGCAGAGGCGTGGTGTTACTCGTGCGACGAATAAACGTGTGCAACCTTATTTTTCTTTTCGGATCGAGGATTGTGTACTTGGGGCGTTGAGCAGGAGTGCGGTTGAAGCAATGGTGGAAGTAGACGGAACGATGGAAAGGTGTCTGATCGATACGGGTGCCGCGGTGTCACTAATCAATCATCGGCGAGGTGAAAAGCTTCAGTCGTGCTGCACGATCGTAAGAGCGGTTGGCGGTCATTCAGTGGGAATTGATGGGATAGTCGAACACACCGTGGGAATCGGGGGACGAAAGCGAACACACTTCTTTCTCGTGTCACCAGATGTGAAACAAACCATATTGGGAGCAGATTTCCTGGAACTCAATAAAGCTGTCATTGATCTAAAGCGTGAGAAGTTGCTAATGGAGTGCGGGTCACTACCACCCATTAATCGTGGAGAAATGAGATCTTCGTAGTCGGTCGTTGCTGTGTTACATTTGAGCCCATGTTTGCATTCGCTGATCAACAAATACCAACCCTTGTTTACGGATGACAGCAGCCAATATGGGTTTTGCGATTGGATCGAGCACACCATCCCGCTAACTCGCCAACCGTATCGGCCCCATGGACCTCGAAGGATACCAATCCATCTGGAGACTGAGGTGAACAGGCAAGTGCAGGAAATGCTGGACGCGGGCGTGATTGAGGAGGCACATAGCCCGTACAACTCTCCTGTGGTCTTAGGGAAGAAGACGAATGGGAAGTACCGATTCTGTGTCGACTTCCGAAGACTGAATGAAATTTCCTTGAGTCGCTTCGTTCCAGTTCCATCAGTTGCCGACATTTTTGATCGGCTGCAGCAGTCGAGGATATTCACGGTCCTGAACTTGAGATCAGGATACTGGCAACTGGCAATAAAACAGGAAGATCGGGAGAAGACGGCGTTTACCGTTGGTGAGAAACAGCACCAGTTTAAGAGGATGCCATTTGGATTATCAGGAGCCCCGTTTACCTTCCGACGTCTAATGCTGCGATTGCTGAGTGAATTGGAACACGTGGTTGTGTACGGGGATGACATCGTGGTGTATAGCCAACCAGAAGCGGAATATATCCATCATCTCGCGGCAGTTCTGGAACGCATTCAGCAGTCGGGACTTCGTATAAATGGACCAAAATCCCAGATCGGAAAGACCTGTGTCACCTTACTGGGCCATAAAGTGGGACAAGGCGAATTGAAACCGCTACCGGAGAAGATAATGACGATACAAGGCAGCCCAGTTCCCACCTCGAAACGCACTCTCCGTACATTCCTGGGCCGCGCCGGGTACTACAGCAAATTCGTCAAGGATTTTAACACCGTGGCCTCACTCTTGTACGAGCTGTTGAAACAAGACAGGAAATTCACTTGGAATGCAGAAGCTCAACGAGGCTTTGATAAGATTCTACAGGAAATGGGAAGGCAGGAGTTGACCCTGAAATTGCCCATTGCTGGTGAGGTGTTCACGGTAGCCACTGACGCCAGCGATATCGGGATCGGTGCGGTGTTGAAACAAAACCATGGGACGATTGAGTATGCCTACCGAACTTTGACACCTGCGGAACGCAGATACTCAACCATAGAGAAAGAATGTCTCGCAATTGTCTGGGCGTTGGATAAATGGCGGCCATATCTCCTGGGTCAGCGATTTCACGTCGAAACAGACCACAGGCCGTTGGAGTGGATTAAGTCTGTCAAAAACTCCAGACGAAAGCTGACGAGATGGGCATTGCGCCTACAAGAGTATGATTTCACGATAAAACACGTGCCGGGAGGGAAAATCAGACGGCGGATTTCTCGTCACGCATGACAGATGATGATGACTTGCCGAGCGTAGCCTTCGGTATTAACGGTATACTGTGCGAGCAGGATCCAGAACGGTTGGCAACTGAGCAACGTAGTGACAAACTCCTGCGCAAGTTGATCACCGCGCGATTAACTGGTCAGACAAACTTCAACAAAAACCAATTTAAGCAGCTGGGACCGTTTGCAAAAGACCTGGGAAAGCTGCAAGTGAACGAATCAGGGATCTTAATGTGGATACCAGAAGGTAGCAACCCTTCGGTGCCAGTCATTCCAATGAAACGAAGATGGAACCTGGCAGTTTCTTGTCACGAGATGGCGCACACAGGTTGTTCCAGGACCTACGATCTGCTGAAACAACGCGCGTATTGGCCGGGGATGAAAAGGGACGTTGAGAAGTGCGTGCTTTCGTGCAGACAATGTCAGCTCATGAAAACGGATTGCCGAGGAATGCAGCAGCAGACGATGATGATCCCGGTCTCGGAAATTGGTGAACTTTGGTCGGTCGACGTGATGGGGCCGTTTCCATTGACCAGGCGTGGTAACCAGTACATTTTATTGATGACGGAGCACTTCACGCGATGGATTGAGGCGACAGAAATCCCGGATCAACGGGCTAGCACCGTTGCCCATGCTGTCATGAATCACTTGATAGCGGCTCACGGAATCCCAAAGGCCATATTAACCGACCAAGGGCCGTGCTTTGAGAGTGAAGAATTTCGGAACTGTTTGGAGAAACTTGGCATCAAGAAATTGCGCACCACCCCATACCACCCGCAAACAAATGGCCTGACGGTACGTAACAATAGAACAATCAAGGAGTGGATAGCAGCAAAAGGTGGAGACTGGGAGGAAGCGTTGCCGCTACTGTTGCTGGCCCATCGAGCAACCAAACAGGCTTCCACAAAGAAATCACCATTCCATTTGATGTACGGTCGACAACCTCGTCTACCTGTGGACCTAGAGATTGGAATGTGGCCAACTTGCCGTATATCTCTCGAGGATACACGGAATAACCGGAAGACCGCCAACCGCAACCTACAGGCGACTCAGGCGCGGATGATGGCGAAGTTCCAGACCAGCAAAGGTGGAAAAATATCGAGCTTCAGATTGGTTCGAAAGTGAAGTACAGGGACCATCAACGCTATTCCATTTGCGGCCCAGGGGAGAGGAAACTCCTGGCGAAGTGGAAAGGACCGTACGAGGTAGTCGACCGGCGAGACCCAGTGTATACAATCGCTCGGCAAGGTGAATCGCGGAGAGTGGATGCCGGCGAGCTGAGGAAGTGGTACGAATTGGAGGAGGAAACACGCTCATACAGTGAACATCCCCGGCGGTCAGAAAGACTCCGACGGAAGGCAGCTGACGCGAGTCCTTTGGAGAAGGAGGAGTGTGGTGGATTAAAGGTAGATACTACTGCGCCGGGTATAAGTAGTGTGGTGGTGCAAGATGACATACCAACAGCGAGCCCTGCCGACTTCCCCAAAGTTGAAGATGACATCAGGATTACAGTTCCATGTGCACGAGGAGTGAACACATAGGCAAGCACCAGTTGGGGAACACTCAATGGAGATCACGCAGATGAGCGGACGCCTCCAAGGTATGAATGAACACACCTAGTGTAAGCCACTTTAGCAATAAACAAGTTGCCGCCTGCCCCTTGGGTTCTAACACTATGATAAACCATGTATTAGCGCATATGATGAAACAATATGAGCACTAGAGTGAGAATCCGTAACTAACGTCAGGAATAAAGGCAATTATTAAGCATGCATTAGAATAGCAAATTTACAGATAACTATTGTGTTGTTTTCCGGTCTCGAAAAAATGCCTGCAGGGGTGTACCCCAAGCTTCATGAGAAGAAAGTGTATTATTATTTTTATTAGTGTCAAATAACCCACGAAAAGAGAATACATAAAACAAAAAGTACAGTGTGGCCAGTTAGTACACTGGTTGTGGATAAACGCCCAAGAGCGGAGCAGGAAAGACTTGTAGATATGAGTTGGGATTTAATGCAGTATACTTACCTGATGTTGAAACTTGGTTGGATCTTTCGACGAGATGGGAACAGCGCTGCCGTACACATGAAGCTCCCGCACAACAGAACATTTGGGATCCGAGTCGGTGGGGTCCACCTGAGAACACGCGCGCAGCTCCGGTCGGAACGTCTGCGAAGAACATTGGCGCAATCGAAGTAAACCAATTAATATATCTTGGTAAGGGTCTTCATATGACAAAAATGTCTCCCAACCTCCATTGGCAACATAGTCACGTCGGATCAATTCCACCTGAAAAATGAATAAACGTCATGAGTAAAAGTCAGTATTCACATGCGGTAAGTTGAGCAGTCAACCTTGTGGTGAGCGTGTGAGTCGGATCTAGGTTGAAATAATGGTTAATGAAAGAAAGTAGAGAGCAAAATATAGGAAGCAGTGGTGGAGGGTTATTAAAGAATAATTTAGGGTCCAAAGGAGTAGATATGCACCCAGACACAAAGATTATACTAATTTCGGCAACCAATCATTTTTGAGATCCAGTGATGATAAGAGGGGTGCAAAAACAGGTGTACACACGCAAGAAACAGATGTATCAACGGTGCGCCTATTAACCATGCGCAGCAATGAAAATGCCAGGGAGATCACAAAAAACGAAACGGCCACCGTTGTTAATGAGAGCCTTATTTTACTTCCCTAAGCGACACAGATAATTGCATCTTAAAGTTCTATCCTACAATAAAAAGTGACGTCAACTTGTTACATCGATCGAACGACCAATCAAGACCATGTGACAGTAAACTTGCTCCTTCGAAAATCACACTCTTAACTGATCTGTGCTAGGAACGAGTGCTTCCTCGAGCGCAGATTAACGAAGCTCGCGACCCGTGGTCAAAATAAGCATCTGTCCCAAAAGTCAGAACAAGCTGAGACTAAAAGGTTCCAACATGAAACGCCCCAGAGTCAGATGGGAAGAGACCGGAAAGGCATAGACTAAAAGAAAAGTGTTGGCCTGAGATCAACAAATATGTTCAATGGGGTTATAACTAGAGTGGTATGTTTCTGTGCCCCATGCTGAGGCTGATGCATTCATGATGCTTCTTCACCGCAGTTGGGATAAATTAACTTACACTTAAACTAGGTCTTTTTAATTTGGAAAAAATTCATTACCTTCTATTTGGTTTGTTCTGCGTACTTGATAATCTTCTCCTTACTTGCACACGTCGCTCATTTAAATTGTGGTGAACTTTCGGAATTTCATCGCGTGGTATTTCTTAAATAACTCGGGCATTTTGTACTTATCACGGATTCACTAATAACCAATTTCTTCTATTTGCTCATTAAGCGAGTATTTGTGTCGTCATATGCGTTTACTGTATTTGATATTGGGATTTTGAGTGATTGGCTGTTGTTTGACATCCCAGGTGTGGCTGCGCTTGATGTGCATGTTGACAAGGTGCCTACCCGTCTATTACCCACTACCTCGCCCATACTCGCTCCAGGAGACAGTTGGTCGTTGCTGGAGGGGACGGGGTGCACAGTACTTGTGGTCGTGCTAGGCTCGAAGAGTGGTTCCATGCACTCAGTGTGGAGCGGACTACGGTCCAGCCACCGCCTTGTGTGCACTTGATTCCCCAAATACAGCGTGCTTGTGTTTACCTGTGAAGGAGTGTGGGCCGGCTCCGTTGATGAAACGTGGCTCCCATCCACATGCCTCCCGGGTTTATTAATGCTGGTCTACACCGGATATGGGTGTGTGGATGGAGCTGTGGGTGGTGCATCGCAAGCCATCCATGGTCCCTCTGTAGGCGCAGGCGTCCTATGGCTGGCCACAGTGACAGGCAAATCGGAAATCGGATGCCGCCAATCATGTTTCTGTGCATCATGTAGAGCTTGATGTTGCTCAGATTATGCTTCTTCACTGCAGTTAGACTACACAGACATACACTTAAACTTAACCTGGATGAAAAGCATCCCACTTTATTTGATTTGCTCAGTTCTGTTATTCTGCTGCACATTCTGTGTCAATTTTGCGTGTTTATTTGCCTTCAAATTCTATGTTGGTTGTTTGATATCCCCGGTGTCGCTGCGCTTGATGTGAATGTTGACAAGGTGCCTACCTGTCTAACATCCTGCAGCTCGATTAGTCTCCAGGATACTGAATCGTTGCTGTGGGAGAGGGGTGCAGTCCTTGTGACCGTGCTAAACTCAAAGAGTGGAGCGGACTACGGCGCAGCCGAAGTGGCGCTGCGAACTGGTTCGCATGCGATATTTCGTTTCGACCAGACAGTACTAACCGCTGGGATTGCGTCTGTCGGACGGATGACGTACTGGGTTCCCGACAGGCAAAATATGATAGGACAAGCGCCTAAAAAGTTCGAAGAAACCGGCTAACTGCCGTGTCAAAGTGCGAATCAAGGGTAACTGTGTCTGCCAAATGCTCTGTTAAAAGGGTGAAGAGGGAGAACGCTAAAACTCCTCATCCTTGGTTAACCCAGCTTCATTTTGGTGCGCTGCTGGTGACCTCAGGATTAACACTCTCATCCCCGTCTGTCATCGGTTACAGCCCATGTGACACGGTGCTCGGGGGCATGCCCGGATTGCATCCCCAGTCCCCCATACACGCATACATTTTGTACCGTGTAAGCACATAGTCCTATTGCCTGACGGGGCAAGACCAATGAGTGTCACGCGATGGTACGTGCGAGTAGTCACATCCGGCGAAAGGGGGTTAATAGGTGGACTAACTTGACAGAACAACAGATGTATTTGATCCTTGAAAAGCCAAACTAACAACCTCTATGAGCTAAGTTGTCTGTAAAATGGTATATTTGTACATCTAGTTTGTGTTCGCTGCCAGTTTACCCAGATTTCACTACTGTTACTGATAACGCTGTGGAATAAACCTCCGGAAGGCTGCTTGCGATTCAAGCATTTGCTAGCTGACTGCCATTCCCTAATGAACTGAAGCATTAGGGAAGTGCAGACTAACTCGCTGGAGTATGTAATTGTTGGTCACTTGTAGAACATCTAAATTAAGTCAGGATAAGCTGTAAGCATTGTAGAGGGTTGTTTTCAGCCGGCCGGTGGCCGAGTGGTCTGCACGCTTGCTTTGCAACCATAAGGTTACCGGTTCGAATCCGCGTAGGGGTGGGCGTCCTCGCGGTATACTCAGCCCGCGCGCGACTGGTGGTGGTCGCGCGGCAGCGAAGCGCCGTTACGGCATACAGCTGACACATTACTTATTTTTATTATTTTCAGCATTATACTAGCGCTACGGATGTAATAAAGTATAGTAGAGAAGAGAAATGCAGAAGTGAGGAGTGACTTGAAACATGCGCAATTGTCATTATAACAGCTGCAGGTACAGCATGCGTATGACTTTCACTAGGCCGACGGGTAAAGATGTCAGATAAAGACGGTGTTACGATATGACAAAATGTTAGGAAATGAACCTTTGAATTTTGAGCTCATTGAATAAAAAGTGGGTGTGTTTTTGATCATTTTTCAGGGGGGTGCGAAGGATGGTGCAGGACTGTGCAAAAGTGAAGCAGATATTGAAACGCTTAAAAACAATCCATTCAGTCAGTTAGATTGCGTTGTATCGTTCGTGCCAACAAGTGGTACTTTTTCTGAAGTAGTCCATGGAGAATGACGGGATGGAATACACAATCCCGCAAACTTTAATCTCAAACTAAAGGGTAGCAAAATGGTTTTAGTTCTGTGAGCAAAACGGTTATACGACTTTCTGTCGCTCCTCATGAATGTGCATTGACCAAGGGAGGTTCAAGGACAAAAGCACCGAGCTACTTGACAGTCAGTGACTTATGTCATTTTCACTTGCATCACAAATGAGGAAGTTATTTTTGAAAGACCGCAAGTTATTGGTTCGATGAAAAGTATGTAAGTGTTGACCTGGATGAAGACTGTCTCACCCATTCTACTCGACGTTGATACATCGAAGAGGCCTGAATGGTAGGAGCTACACACGGTAGCACAGTAAGACCAGCATTTTTACATCTTATGAAATTGGTTTGGGGTGATGTACATTTAAACTTGGTGAAGTAAATATGATCATGACCTAGGCACGAAGGGATGGCATACTACTAGGTGAATTCCTTTCTGGTACAGCTGATTGGGCAACGTCGATCTCACCAGGCTTCTGATAGCGTTTGGTCAGATACAGACGCCTTAGTTTAAAATGACTTGAAACACAGATAACCGGCTGATCATTTCGGGTTGCCCGCGCTCGCCAAGCTCTGTAATTGATTTGCCAACGTTTTAGCACCAAACAAGGTGAGTTCCTCACTGCGATTTTGTGTCGAGTGCAGTCCACTGATTTGGTCGCCGATCGGCAATCGACCTAGACATGTGCCACGTGACCTTCACCCGTTTACCCGAGGTCTATGATAGACTCAGGCAATCGGTGAGATGGCTTCGCCCCGGTTGTTTAGTTGATCGTGTGGTTTACTGCGCGCGACGGTTTTCAAGCCGTTTTAGTTCTTTCCATCTGAGCGTTTGATACACTGGATCAATGTCGATATACATATTAATCGAATACCTCGTAAAGTAGCATGCTTTGAGGAACTCCGATCTTTTTCGTGTTTCCCCATGTGGCGGGCTATCTGTTTCGTTTCATTCCGAGCAATGTAGCACATCGAAGAATTGGAGACAAAGCGGAAAGAAAAGAAATATCTGTTCAAACTATTTCTCCTGAACGGGCATCCAGGAAATTTCATCCGGCGATGTCTGGAAAACAAACCAGGGCCTCTACCCAAACGAAAACGAAGCGAATATAAAGAACATCACAGTGGCTCACAAACCAAATGCCACTGTGGAGCACCGTGTCACAATCCAAAGCCAAGCCTGGTGCTCACGAACGACGAAATGTTGAGTCGAGATGGCAATAAGAACTATGTGGGTCAGAAAGGAAGGAAGCTATCGACAAGGACATAAGAGTATAAAAGGGTTTGTAAAACCTACTACGCACTCTCCCTGGTTTCATCGCTTACGGATGAAGGACAGTTCTCCGACTGAAACAAGGACTCACAGGAAAAAGATTGGAGATTCTCGAAGCATAGTACGCTAAGAAACATTCGATTGATTTGCGCATGAATACTGATCCAGTTTATCACATGCTCAGATAGATAGAATCAAAACGGCTTAAAAGCCGTCGCGGGCAGCAAAACACAGTCAACAGAACAACCGGAGCGAAGCCATCTCACTGATTGTCCAAGCCCATCACAGACCTCGGGTAAACGGGTGAAGGTTGCGGGGCACAGGTTGATGAGGTT